TAATGAAGAGTGCGTGGTTAGAAAATAAAAAAAAGTTTTAGATTAGTTTGTAATATTATTTAATTAAAAAATGTGTGATTAAAAGGAAGAGAGAAAAAAAAATGTAGTTTGAAAATAATGTGGATCATAAGGGTTAAGACAAAAACTATACAACAAATAATGAGAATTGTATAATATTTTGTCTATAAATTACAAAGCAAATGATACGAACTCCATACAACTATAATAATAAAATGAATGATCTTATACTTTATCACAATCATAATAATATGAAAAATACATTCTAAGCAAATCCAGAAGATATAGCAATAAAACAAGAATATTAAATTATTTGAAAGCTTGGAACGAGGTTTGGAACCAATCAATATAAAATGGAAAAAACCTTATAAAAAGTCATGAAAAAAGAAAGGAAAGACCTTACGAATAAGGTCATAAATCCATAGATGAAGCAGATGTAAAACCTCATTGAAATATAAGTAGAATATAAATTTGAGACAGAAAAAATGGAATGAACAATGAGAATTGTATAAAATGTCTGTCTATGATTTACAAAGGGAATAATCCTATAAATAAGGATTTCATACAACTATAAAAAGGAATGATTGATCATAATCATAATACTTTAGTAATAATCTAATCCAGGAGATATAACAATATCACAAAAATATGATATTATATGTTTAACAAATCATATTACTCTGTGCAAAATGTGTTCGACATCAAGTAAAATTTTTATATTTGACTTAAAATTACATTACTTGGGAATAGAATATACATACAACTGGAAAAATATGACACCACTCAATTTGAAATATGGAAAGAGGTAAACACCAGCCCTTGTTTTTGAACATCATACACAAACTGCAGAGTGAGTATCACTATTGAGTAAAGTCTTGTAGGCGATTCGTTATAACTAACAAATGATGTAGGGAGATAAAATCGCTTTTCAAAAAATGTAGTGGATATAAGATATGCAATTTAACTTGGTAAATCAACTTCAAATATTAGAATGGGAGAGAATGTGCAGAGCATAACTAAGCTTGGGGTGTGCCTATGGCGTAAAGGGGGTTGGCCCCACACGAATATTCGGAGTGGATTCTGCGTCTTGATCTTTGGTTATATAATGCTTGAATGTACCCCTTCTATTATTATTATTATTAAAAAATAAAAATATTGAGGCTAATTTCATTCTTAGTACTTCAGTTACATTTTGAATTGAATCATTATACTTCAATTCGTATCCATTGAGTCATTATATTTTAGTTTTATGCCATTAGATCTTTATATATTAATTTGGTCTTAAGCCCTCGTTTGTTTCCTAGTATTAGCCTATAAATATGAAAAATATGGCCGTTATTCATCACATCAAGTTGTGTGAGACCGAAATAACTATATTTTTCATTCTCATTCTTACGTTAATGTGGCTCAAATGGGGCCTAAATAAGGCCACTTCATTGTATTCAATCAAATACGTCCTAGGCCCTGTTTAAGCTGCATGATTTGAAAAAAAAATATTTTAAAATAATAATTTGACCTAATTTCAACCCACATTCTTCAATAAAATAATATTACACGTAAATTCAAAACTTTTTCTTATTTTCTAACCAAACATTTTTCATCAATTTACTATTTTAAAATACATTCTTAAAAAGTAATGTGGCTCACACACACACTAAGCCTATGTTTTGTGTAGCTAAAAAACAAAAAATTTAAGTCAAAATCACTAATTAATTTTAATCACACATTTCATGAGATTCACAATTTTTTAATCTTACATTTCATCAAAATATATAAGTCCTTGTTTGAGCCCATTTTGGAGGAGAAAATGCATTTTTGAATAGTGTATTGATTGTAAATATGTGGTTAAAAAATAAGGAAAATTTTTAAATACGTGTAATATTATTTTATTGAAGAATATGTAGTTGAAATAATATCAACATACTATTTAAGAATACTTTTTTTTTCCAAAGAATGGGCCTCAAACAAGATCTAATAATTTGATTTCCACCTAAACCAAACAATTGCAATCAAAACGAACCCTAAAGAATTCATACATTCTTTTCTCTCAACCTAGTGAGAGAAAATTCCACTTTGGTGCACACTTGCCTCGAGATTTCCTTGTGTTTTCTTGTGTTTTAGATTGATTTTTACTAGTCTTTGGTGGAAATTAATTTAAAACATATTGGATTCTGATTATATTATGCTTTTTGTGAGTTTTGGAGGTTTCTTTAGCTACCATTATCGTCTCTTTCAAAGCTCCAGGTTTGGGTTTCAGTTCGGTTTTAGTTTCTAGCCAGATTAGTTCGGTTGTCTTACTTTCCTTCCGGTTGGAGCTGTTTAGTTCTTATCTTGGTGCTGATTTAGGTCGAAGTCTTGCTGGTCGTCCTTGGCTAGCTTGGGTTCAGTGGATTACAGTTTGCTTATCTTTGGTTTTGGTGCATTTGTGCTCGGATGTACCTTGCTGCTGGTTCTTCTGTTTAGCTTTTGCTGTTTCAGCTTGGCTGTTGGTGTATTTTCTTGCTGGAAAAGCTTAAGTTCTGTGTTTGGTTAAGTTGGTATTGCTTCATTGTTGTTGTTCTTTTTTTTCTGGAGGTTCATTGTTCCTGTTTCGTTTCTCTCTTGCTGGACGGTTTTCTCCAGTTTCGGTGGTCTCCTTGGTTGGTTCTGGTTGGTGTTGCTTGGTTATCTTCTGGCCGGTTTTCTCTCCTTCCAGCCCCAGTTCATTTCGTGTTTGGTCCTGGATTTATTTCTGGTTCTTGTTGGACGATTTTGGTTTTCCTTCTTTTCTCCATTTAGACCGTGTTCTTGAGGTTGATGGGTGTATGTATTGTGTATGCAATTTGCATGTCACATTTGATTGATTTTTGAATTTGGTCAGGCTTTCCGTCTGACTTTCTGCCTCGTTCAATGTTATTCCCTGCTGTGCAGCTTCTAGCTTCCGTTTTTTGCAATTTTGGTGTAACATTTTCAGAGGGTTAGTGGTTGACCCGTTTGACTTCAGCTTGGGCTAGGTTTCATTGGGTAACTGGACGGTTCTTTGGGCTGCTCTTGGGTCCAGATCTTATTGTTGGCTGGTCTTTCCTGGGCTTTCTTCTTGGACCGTATTTGCTCCTTTTCTGGACGTGTTGGGCCTGTGTTGTTTTATTAGTTCTTTTGTGCTGGGCCAATTTCCTGGTCAGTCTTTTGGGCCTTTATTTTATTGTTTGGTTTCTTTGGGCCTGTTTTTGATTGGTTGTGCTGGGCTTTTCTTTGGGCCTTCACTTCTGGACATTTGGCTGGGCATTTATTCTCCTGGGATTCTTCTTTGCTGGAGGTTTTCTTTTGCCTCTTTGGGCCTTCTTTTCTGGTTTTTCTTTGGGCTGCTTTGAGTTGCTGGACGATTTATATTTGGTGTTGGCTTTCTCCCTTCCATTCGGGTCTTTTGGCCGGTATTTTGGGGTCCCTCTGTTGTGTAATCTACCATGGGTAAGAAGAAGCTTAAATCGAGTCTTCCCCCTCCTAAGTTTAATTCCATTCGACAGCCTGCAAATGAGGTAAATGCTGGTTCTCCATTGAAGGTTAAATCGGGGGAGCATAAGGTGATTCATTTACCTTCACCGAGTGTCTCTTTAACTCTTGGTGAAGATGACACTGCTTCTAAACATTCTGATTGTCGTTCAAATAATGCTGAATTGTTGAATAAAAATGCTGGAAATGTGAAGGATGTTGATGGAGGTATCGAGAAAAAAACCCATGGGTTAACCCTTTTCAAGGATAACCGTAAACTTGAGGAAAATATCGTGTTGAAACCTTTCCATAACCAATCGAAGGAGGTTGTGTTGGGGGAAGGTGATGAAGACGTTATTGAAAATTCATGGGGATATTGTTTGGTTAGATACTTTGCCGGTAGGTTTCCAGGGAAAGTTGCGTTACTCAAATTATGTGATTCTTGGAAGGTGAACTATAAATATTACGTTCACGCTAGTGGTTGGTTGGTATTCAAGTTTGAGACCGATTGTGAAAGATTAAGTGTGTTATATGGTGGCCCATACTTAGTCTACTGGAGACCGCTCATGCTCAAAATGATGCCGCGCTATTTTGATTTCAACGGCAAAGATTTTAGTACAATGCCGGTGTGGATTAATTTACTGGGTCTTCCCTTGGAATTTTGGAACGCTAATGCATTGGGTAAAATTGTCTCTATGGTTGGGAAACCAATCTCAATGGACAAAGTGACCGCTACTAGGGGTCGTATCTCCTTTGCGAGAGCACTTGTGGAAGTTGATGGCCTCCATTGATCTTGTTCGGGAGGTCAAGGTTAGACTTCCCAATGGCACGTTAAGGGAGCAAGAAATTGTATTCGAACATGAACCAAAGTTTGGTGGTTCTTGTAAAGTGTTTGGTCACTCGACTACGGGGTGCAACAACAAAAATTCTGATGGGGAGAAAGGTAAAGGCAAGGTTGCTGTTTCCTATCTAAGGAAGGTTGGAAACGATGGAAAATCTGTCCCAATTGCTCAAAAACTTGTTGATGAGGCAGCATGTATGCTGCAACAAAATGAGGAACAAAATGATTTGGCTAGGGATGGTAAAAATGACCAGCAACTTGGTCGAAAATCTGGACAAAATTCTGGACAACATGTGGACCGAAATTCTGGGCAGATTGTTGAGCAGAATATGGACGGCCAGTTGGGGGGTAATACTGCCCAGGTTGAAGTGTCGTTTGAGAAAGTTGTGAGTAAGAAAAATAGGGGTGTTGGAGGAAAAAACCTACTCATATTGAGCCTGGCAAATCTGGAAACGAGGGGCCTCCCAACTCCATTGATGCAGGTTCTACTAAAGCTGGAAATGCTAAGCTTAAAAGGCAAAGTAGATGAGAAAAAGAAGTCGGGGCTTGAGAAAAAGGGATTTTCCCTTGCTTCTTTTTCATGAAGATCGCCTTGTGGAATATTAGGGGCATGAATCCACCCCTCAAACAAAATGGGATTTGAGAGTTTATAAAGCTTCATAGTATTGACATTATGGCAATTTTGGAAACAAAGTTCGAGGACCGGAAGTTGATGAGGATTATGCGGAACAAATTCGTTGGCTTCATGCAAGTTAATAATTTTTGTACACATCAAGCCGGAAGGATCTTAATTTTGTGGAATCCATCCAAATTTCTTTTGAATGTGATGGAGGTTCATCCACAAATTATTCATGTTAAAGCTACTTGTAAGGTAACATCTTATGCTTCTCTTGTAAGTTTTGTATATGGTTTTCACATTATGGTAAGTCGAAGGCCTCTTTGGAATACCATTATGGAGATAAATGAAAATGTGTCGTTACCTTGGTTGATTATAGGTGACTACAGCAATGTGCTTAAGTTTGATGAGAAATGCAACGAGGCGGATATTACCCCGTATGAAATTAAAGATCTTGCAACTTGTTGCCTTAACGTGGGTCTCTCGGATGTGCACTCCATTGGTTGTTTTTTCACATGGACTAATGGGTCGGTTTGGAGCAAAATTGATAGGGCTTTGGTTCATGATGTTTGGATACAAAAAGGGACTTTTGTTGAAGCAAATTTCCTACCATCCGGATGTCTCTCCGACTACTCCCCTTGCATTGTCTCTATACATGACCGTGTGGGAAGAGTAAAAAGCCCTTTCAAGTTCTTTAACATGTGGATTTCAATGATTTGATAAGAGGCTGCTGGAATTTTTATGTGCGGGGGACAAAACAATTCATCCTTTGGAAGAAATTGTGCAAATTAAAGGGGGCTTTGAAGGAGCATAATTTCAAGCATTTTGGGCATATTTCGGGTAGAGTAATCGAGGCCAAAGATGAGTTAGAATCTGCTCAATTACAGCTTCATAATCAGCCCACCAATGCTGATTTTCAGATTTTGGTTGCTAATTTGAGGAAGAAGACCGTTACTTTATGTGAAGCGGAACGTAGTTTTTACTACCAAAAGGCAAAGTGTATCTTCCTCAAGGATAGTGATAAATGCACTAAGTTCTTTCATTCATTGGTTAAGAGGAATTCCAAGAGGAATTTTATTGCTACGGTTCTTAAAGAAGATGGGATGTATACTACATCACAAGATGAAGTGGCTAGTGAATTTGTAAAATTTTATACTTCCTTGTTGGGGAAGAAATGCTCCTTTCGACCTATTGACATGGATATCCTTTCAAATGGTCCCTTGGTTTTCCCAGAACAAGGTGACACCTTGGTTCGGGACGTTTCTCATGAGAAAATAAAAGATGCACTTTTTGATATTGGGGATGACAAATCTCCCGGGCCGGATGGCTATACCTCTTGCTTTTTTAAGAATGTTTGGGAGATTATTGGTGATGATTTTTTTGGGGCTATCTCGAAATTCTTCTCTTCGGGTTGCATTCTTAAACAAATCAACCACACGGCAATTGCTTTGGTGCCTAAATCAGATCACATGTCACATGTTGGTGATTATAGGCTTATTTCTTGTTGCAATGTTATTTATAAAGTGATTGCTAAAATATTTGTTTCAAGATTGAGACCCATTTTGAGAGACATTGTTGGTCATGCGCAAGCCGCTTTTGTGGAAGGTAGGAGTATTATGGAGAACATTCATCTTGCCCAAGAGCTATTGAGGCAATACAATAGGAAAAGGGTTGCTCCTCGATGCCTCTTGAAAATTGATCTCTCGAAGGCCTATGACTCAGTGTGTTGGGATTTCCTTAGAAATGTCTTTGTTGGTTTGCAATTTCCTTCGAGATTTGTTAATTGGATTATGGAGCGTGTCACTTCTACATCATACTCTATTGCTTTGAATGGGACTTTGCATGGATTTTTCAAAAGTGAGAAGGGTCTTTGGCAAGATGATCTCTTCTCTCCTTTCCTATTTGTGCTTTGTATTGAATATCTTTCGAGATTGCTCAAAGATGCCACATATGATAGTGATTTCAACTTTCATCCTAAATGTGGCCCCCAAAAGATCAACAATTTAGCTTTTGTCGATGATTTGATGCTATTTGCGATGGGAGATTTTTTGTCGATTAAAATTCTCATGGATTGCCTTTCTAAGTTTGGTTCGGTCTCAGGATTAAAGTTGAATATCCTTAAATCCAGCTTGTTTACAGCTGGTGTGCATGGACAAATTCTTGATGATATCATGGAATTAACTTGTGTTCCTAGGGGGAGTATGCCATTTCGGTATTTGGGCATCCCCCTTGCATTGGACAAACTCAAGGTTAGTGGTTATGCTCCCTTTCTTGATAAAATTACATCATATATTGGTGCATGGAATTCCTCTACGTTATCATATGCCGGCAAGATTGAACTTATTAGGGCGATTCTTCAAGGAGTTGAATGCTTTTGACTATTTATTTTCCCTATTCCGGCTACAATTATTTCTAGAATTGTTAGCATGTGTCGGACATTCCTTTGAGGATCTAAAAAGTCATTAGTAGCGTGGAAGGATATATGCCTACCAAAGGAAGAAGGGGGCCTTGGATTAAAGGATTTGAAGAGTTGGAATTTAGCGCTTCTTGATAAATCCCTTTGGAAAATCCACAATAAAAAGGACTCCCTATGGATTCAGTGGGTCGATCATGTGTATCTTCATGGGTCTTGTATTTGGGAGGTTGCCCCTAGGAAGGATCATTCACCTCTCTTCAAGAAACTTCTTGAAATTAGGGACACACTTTGTGAATATGGTGCTGCCTAGCAGATTTTCTTTCGTGGTCGGTATACTGGAACGGGACATGTTGTTGCTAGAAATATTTCTGCACGGCAGGACCTCAATGATAGATTTTTTAACGCCAATCTTGCTACTAATAGCCTGGTTCATGGGCAGACAAGGGACGGTTTTTATGGCTGGAAAATGATGTTATTCGGTAAGCAATTTTTGCAATCTTGGACTGAAAATCTGGACAGTTCTGTAAGCGGTAAATTCACCACAAAAATTGCTTATGATTTCTTTAGACCTAAAGGTATTTTCAATCCTTGGGGAGCGGAAGTTTGAAAACCATGCATCACTCCAAAACACTCTTTTATGCTTTGGTTAGGGGCTCAATGAAAGCTCCTAATTAAAGATAAATTACTCTACTTGGATATTAATCACAAGTGTGTTCTTTGTGGCTGTTTTAAGGAAACTTCTGAGCATCTTTTCTTTAAGTGCTCTTTCACATCTTCATTATGGGGGAGCATTAGGAGATGACTTGGCATTACAAGATCTATGTCGACACTTCCTATCGCTCTTAAGTGGCTAAAAAAGGAGGCCTGTGAGACTTCTTGACTTAACAAGGCAAAGAGAGTTGCTTTTTCAAGCACAGTGTACTACATTTGGCTTATGCGGAAAAGGAAGATATTTGAAGACCTCTCACCCGACTTGGATTCTATTGTGAGACTGATCAAGACACACGTATACAAAGTCATGTTTACTTTATATCCGGATGTCTTAATTCATTTCGAATCCTTGGCCGTGGATCATTGATCTTTTATGTATTTTGCCTTCTTTTGTTTCTCCCGAGTATACCCGGAGTAGTTGTTTATGTTTATGGACATTGTTTCGCCCGGGTAAACTCGGTGTACTTGTATTTGATTATGGACATTGTCTCGTCCAGGTATGCCAGGTGTACTTGTACATGATACATTTTTTTTATCAATATACTTACATTTACTGATCAAAAAAAAGAAAAAAAAAAGAAAAGAAGGCGTCAAACTTTTAATGGTTTAAGGCTACGAAAACATATAACGGTTCAGACCTTTCAATTTTTATAGCTTTTACTTTAACATTTCATTTTGTGTCTGTCATTAATTTATTTTAAGGTATGTTATAAAATCATTTTCAACCACGTATTCACATGATAAAATATTCTACACGTAAAACAAAATTTTTTCCTTATTTTTTAACCACACATTTTCATGAAAATATTATTCAAAACTCATTTTTTTTCCGATTCCAAACCTTTCAAAGGAGGACAATTGGGCGATTTCCATCTATAACTACGTAAATTGACCAAAAATTGATTTTGACCACATTATTAACAATTTTAATCACAATAAAATGGTAACTTTATAAATTTTTACATAAAATAAATCAAATCGTTTGAAGGGAAGGGGAAGGGGAAAAAGAAGACGATGAATTATTATTATTATTTTTTTGTCTATGTTTTTTAGTTAATTATTTTATATATTTTATGTGAGAATATACAAAGTTACAATTTTACCTTTATTGAAATTGTTAATAAGGCGGTCAAAAATATTTTTTTGGGCTCAACTGAAAGACTTAGGGACGAAAATTATTCATTTGTCCTCCAGTCGATCATGTTTGAAAGGAATGGGATCGTGGATTAAACAAATGAAAAGTCAAGATAAAAATTGAAAATTTTGAGAAGTAACTACAATTATCCCTATAATTTTGTTTGTCTATCATTATATCACATTATTTTTTCTATAGTACTTATATTTAATCACATATTTTTTATTGAAATAATATTATACGTAAATTAAAAAAAATTGTCCTTTTTTAATCATATATTTTAACATCAATTATTATTTCATATTATATTACTCATAAACAATGGAGCACAAGCATTCCCCGGTATAATATTCAAGTACCCTCCAATCCCATCCTCCTAACCCACAATAGGCACGCGAAGAATTACAGGATAAGACACGGGCTCTGGGTCTTCTTCCTCCTTTTCAATATATGAAAAATAAAAAATCAGATAAAGCGTGCTGGCTTATTTATGGAGTTCAAGAACGAGGAGGCAAATGGCCCTGGTGTCTTGAGGGAGTGGTTCTTATTGGTATGTCAAGCAATCTTCAACCCTCAAAATGCACTCTTCTTGGCTTGCCCTAATGATCGTAGAAGGTTTTTTCCAAATCCAGGTAAGGTTTCCTCCTCTTTCGTGCACACATTCTGCAAAAAATTATTTGCTAAAGCACCCTCGTGTGAAAATTCATACTATACTCTTGGTTGCAGCAAATTGAGCTTTTTGTTAGCTTCTGTTATTTTGCAAGTATATCGTAGATGCCTATCACATCCCAAATACTATACATGAGAGGATGACAAGTAGCTTGAAGCATATATAACTTCAGTTTTTCATAGACTCATAGGAGTAATGATTTAAGGTAGCAACTCTAATTTACCCCTCTATTACGGGTTTATAATTTTGATGTTCACCTCATGCACTTTGTACTCTTTTTCTGCGGAAAAGTAATAAAACAATGCTATACTTCATTTGCTTAATCTCATGCTAAGTATAGCAATGGTACATAAAGATTTCATTTTTATGAACACACCCTGTCATGACGGTTGTCCAATTAAAAAATTGGACAAGTAATTTCAGTTAAATTTTCAAATCATTTTTTGGATATTGAATATAGCACTTGAAGCACCAATGAATAGTAACTGTGCATGGAAAAGAACAAAGAACTTGTGAACATGAAAAGACTACTCTCCTTATATAATTAGCCAGTATACAGGCGAGTGAGATTTTATATCCATGACATAAATAAGAATTGATGGTTACCAACCTTCAATCATGCGACAGAAGGTTCTCGACAATATTGATTACACATCAGGAGAGGTGGTTTTCTTAGTACCATAGAGTGAATAAGTTAGGGGGAGGAGGGTGAACAAAAATTATTAAACATAATATTTGAACTTGATTATTCTTCCCTTTCCCCTATAATTCTTGTTTATTCCCTTTCTTCCCTTTTTTTTTTTTTTTTTTTTTTTTTTTTTGGTGGGGTCCTTAAGCCGCCTAGTTATACTTTCCTGTTTGATGAGACAAAAAGAAAGTTCTTTGATGGTTGTTGCAGGAATTGAACTGAACTGGCACACTTTTCAGATTATTCTCAAAGCCCTGCCATGTTCTATGGAGCGATCAACATTGATTTTATATTATTATCTTTGGTCGTTTTCATCGTCTGTTTGCTAATTGGCTTAATGCGTTCACGGCTCATGGGTTCTTGCTTTCTGCTCTAATGAAAGCATACAAGTAAATAGTTCTAACAAAATTCAGGCTCAACTTGGTATCATAAACAAGCCTGAGAGATGGTCTAGTCAAGCTTGATTTATATATTCGTTGTCTCGATGAGATGCGGCACAAGCATCCCCGGGTATAATATTCAAGTACCCACCAATCCCATCCTCCCAACCCACAATAGGCACGCGAAGAATTACAGGATAAGACACGGGCTCTGGGTCTTCTTCCTCGTTTCCAATATATGAAAAATAAAAAATCAGATAACAATGAGTAGCTTCACCAGGACCCATATTCATTTTCCGGCTTCTAAGTGCTACAGGTCAGTCATTCCGTTATCGTCTCCGTTGTCATTCTCAATCCCTTCCGTTTGCAGACGCAAAAACAGGGTCAAATTCATCCACCGGGGGCGGGGAATCCAATGCTCAGTTGCCGAGGGTCCAGTCACGGACGCTCCGTCTCTGTCTACTGGGAACAGCCAATCGGTTTTGGACTGTGTAATTGTCGGGGCGGGAATCAGCGGCCTCTGCATCGCCCAGGCCCTGGTCACCAAGCACCAAAACTCCAATCTCATGGTGACGGAAGCCAGAGACAGCGTCGGTGGAAACATCACTACTGTCGAGAGAGACGGCTATCTTTGGGAAGAAGGACCCAACAGCTTCCAGCCCTCCGATCCCATTCTCACTATGGCGGTCCGTTCTCTATCTTTCCCAATTATCCTAATTTCATATTTCTTGCAACTTAATTACCTTGTTTCTTAAAAGTAAATTATACATTTTCTCTCAATTCAACATACAAGCGTTGGCTGAGTGGTGTGATAAACAATGCAGTTGGATAGCGGGTTGAAGAATGAATTGGTGCTGGGGGATCCAAATGCGCCTCGTTTTGTTTTGTGGAATGGTAAGCTTAGGCCAGTGCCCGCCAAGCCTACTGACTTGCCGTTGTTTGACTTGATGAGTATTCCGGGCAAAATCAGAGCTGGTTTTGGTGCTATTGGTTTGCGGCCATCTCCTCCAGTTTGTGCTTCGCCCTCTCTTTATTTTTCTCTTTCGTAATTCCATTCTGGGATGTTTCTTCTCATATTCCAAAATTTGTCAAAGGTGACAGGGTCATGAGGAAACGGTGGAAGAGTTTGTCCGGCGTAACCTTGGTAGTGAAGTTTTTGAGCGCTTGATAGAGCCATTTTGCTCTGGTAGGCGCAAGTTCCTTCAGTCTGTGACCCTTCAATGCTTTTCTTTCCTTCTTTCCCTTTCTTTTCTTTTTTTTTTTTTTTTTTTGGTGGGGTCCTTAAGCCGCCTAGTTATACTTTCCTGTTTGATGAGACAAAAAGAAAGTTCTTTGATGGTTGTTGCAGGAATTGAACTGAACTGGCACACTTTTCAGATTATTCTCAAAGCCCTGCCATGTTCTATGGAGCGATCAACATTGATTGTATATTATTATCTTTGGTCGTTTTCATTGTCTGTTTGCTAATTGGCTTAATGCGTTCACGGCTCATGGGTTCTTGCTTTCTGCTCTAATGAAAGCATACAAGTAAATACTTCTAACAAAATTCAGGCTCAACTTGATATCATAAACAAGCCTGAGAGATGGTCTAGTCAAGCTTGATTTATATATTCGTTGTCTCGATGAGATGCACATGAAGCTTCATTGAGATGAATACCGTTGTTCTTGAGTAGCTCTGTAAATTTACCAAGCATTCACTAACTATTTGCCGTCTATGAGGTTAAGCTGAACTGCACTAGTTTACAAACTTAAGAATGTTCTCATTTTGGCTCCTCTCAAAACCCCATCCAATTTTGAAAGAGGTGTAGCTGACCAAAGGCGAAACTGTTTGCTACCTTTTTTTGGGGACTGATTTTCCATATGCGTTGGTTCATTAGCCTTACTTAGGAATCCAACAAAGCAAAGATCTTCTTGTTAGTAAACATGGTTTTTTTAGATGCTGTTTGTTTGTTTGTTATTTACGCCCCTCACAAAAATTTAGTCAACCAGTATTCGCACTGCAAGCATTGGATCTTTCTAGCTTTTGGAATTACTTGTCATTTTAACAAATTTTTTTGCAACAAGTTTCTATTGCGGCTTATGATTTTCATTTTCATTCCATTCCATTCTCTTTTCTTCTTTCTGTGCTTTGAATGAGGTCCTTGACCTTGATATTTCCAATCAACACTAATTCCTGGAATCTTGAAAATATTCAATTCTAAGATTGGCCTAGGCATTGCAGTGTGTGCATGGAGAGAACTGTAACATGTGCTTTTGTCATCAAATATGTTCTAGTTCAGCACTAGTTGTATTATTGTTTCAGACTGTCCGTATATTTGTTGAAAATTAAATAAGCATTAGCAGTTTTAACCTCTTTCTTTCTTCCTCCTTTAAACTTAATTACCTTGTTTCTTAAAAGTAAATTATACATTTTCTCTCAATTCAACATACAAGCGTTGGCTGAGTGGTGTGATAAAAATGCAGTTGGATAGCGGGTTGAAGAATGAATTGGTGC